TCGTTTAAATATGCTATGCAAAAGATGTTTAAAAAATCGAAGAAGAAGTCATTTATATAGCGTTAATAAATGGCGGGTCTATTAGTCAGTCCGAATAAAAAGACTTTGCACTTATAAGCACCGTAACGTGTTCTGAATATTATAAGCTCTTTTAAAGCTAAGTCTATTCGTATTTTATAAAAGGCTTGCCGAATGTCGAGTTTCGTAAAGATTTTAGCTTTTAAAAGACGTGCGAAAGTCTTATCGATCAAAAGGAAAAGGTATCGATCTTTACGAATAAGATTATTTAACGCGCAAAAGTCAATATAAAAGCGAAAAGAACCGTCTTGCTTTTTAGCAAATAAGATTAAAGCTGCAAATAGCGTTATTAAAAGTTCGATAAAACCTTTATTAAGATTGTCGATAAAGTAAGCTTTAATAAGCTCTAGCTTAAGGATCGATATCTTATATAATAATAAGTACCGAAGCGCCTTTTCCTTTTTTTCGAAAAGCTCGATTTTATAATCGTAAAGCTTATATAATGCTAGCACGTTGCTAACGGCTTTAAAAAACACGTATATATAATCGGAGTATTCGAAAAAGATAAAAAGGTCGTTAATAAGCTTTAATAGTTCTGCTGCGAAGTCGATAGCAAAGATAAAGCCGTTAATAAAGCGTGTTAGCGTTGCTTAATAATTAGCTTAAGTAAAAGCAATCGTTTAACGCTCGGAGATCAAGCAATCGAGCTTATAAAAAGACGTAAAGAATAGTTTTACGTTTTTTTATCGAGCAATTATATAAAAAGCGTGTCCGAAAACGCCGTTGATTTTAAAGTTTCTATTGATTTTATGCTTAAATGTTTAGCGAAAGCGTTTAACGAGTAAAAAAGGTTTTACGAAAGCGATATCGATTGATATAAGCTTACGATTTATTTAAAACATTGATTTAGCGTAGTCTTTAGAAAAAGTGGTTTTCGTAAAGCGAAAGAATGACGGCTTTACGAAAAGGTAAATAAAAGAAGAAGGTTTAACAATCTTAAAAGAAGAAGCGAAAAGAAAACGATTCCGAAAAGAAAAAGAACGATTTTAAAGAGAAAGAAGTGATTCAGCGACTATTATTATTGCTTGATTCGCTCGTGAACTATAATTTACGAGTAAATTAGCGTCGTAAGCTTTTTAAAAGCGGTTTAAAGCTCGATTACGTTTATTAGCGTCGTGCTAATAACGAGCGTTTACCTTACGCTAATTAAAGTGTATAATCTCAATAAGTTTAGCGTAAGTGGCGGTCGGAAGGTTAAAGCGAAGCTAATAAAGCTTGCGGCGAGCGCAATTAAAAAGAATTTAATGCTTAGCTAACTATGTTCGTCCGAAGATTACGCTATGATTTCTAAAGTTAGTGATAAAAAAAAGAGTAAAAGATTAAACGCGCTTATCGACCGTAAGGTTAAGAAGTGCAAAATATAAGATAATAGCTTTACGAGCTCTATTGTATAATTTGATAAAGAATAAAATCGAGAAAGGTTAAATTAAAGGTTTAAAAAAGAAAGAAAGTGATTTGAATAGCGTTAAGTTAATCAGCGCGTACTTATTAGCTTTTAAGTCGAGCAAAGTAGATACTTTGTACGAAAAGCTATTCTTAATAAAAGTGACGGGTATAATCATAGCTTTATTATTAAAAAGCTTCGTAAGGTCGAGGTATCGTATGTTTCGAAGTTGGCTTAAAAAAGAGGCTTTGCTTAAGCCTCGACGTTTCTTTTATTAAAAGCGTCGGAGTTAGCAAAAAAGAGCTTTTAATAATCTTTAAAAGCATCGAAGTAAGGTTTATCGTCCGAGTCATCCGAATAAAAGCTGTATTCAAGTCTAGCGCCGTGTTTTATTTCGTTGATTAAGTAGTAGCGAAAGAGCTTCGGCGTATTCGAATCCTTGCAAGACAATTTAAAAGTCTTAATCGCTAATTTAAAAGCGTTTCCGAAAGAAGAGAATTTATTAGATCGATTAAATCGATTTGCACTAGCGCTAAGGCTATTAAAGGTTTAGCGCTAAAAGGTAAGAAAAGAAACGGAAGTTGAGCTACCTTAGCGGTTTTCGTAATAAATGACTTGCTTGACCGCTGCTCTTTAAGCCGAGCGAGATTCGGTACGAGCTCTATTATAAAAGCTCTTCGCGAATTAAGTATTATACTTAGCTTATAAAGCGTCGTAAAGCTTTGCAGACGCGTATTAGCTAGCAGCCAATTGTTAGACGGCAGTCTAAAAGTCCTTAAAAGTTATAGTCTTAGCAAATTCTAAATAAAGCTGGTCGCGCAGCGTCTTAATAATCTTAAAACGCAAGGCCTTACGTAATCGATCTTCGTCTTTGATTTCGGCGGTAGCAATAAGCTTCGAGAAAACAAAGTAAAAGTCTTAAAATTGCTAATTAAACTTTATATAAAGTTTTTCGAACTCAATTAATGCTTTAGCTTTCTTAGCGAAATCGTTTAAGAACTCGAAAGCGATCTAAACGAGTTTCGAAGCGGTTACGAAGTTACTACGATTTATAATTAAAAAGGCTAAGAATAAATAAGCTGTTCTTTCGGTTTAGTTAAAGACGTAGTTCTTGCGTTAGCGTTTTGTAAAAAAGTATTCTTCGAAAGCTTTTAAATTATCGAAGACGCGGGCTTGCTAATAGCGTACTCAGTAGCTTACACCGTTTAAAAGCTTTTGTTTAAGGTTGAAGATCCGCTCGATACGAGCGCGACCTTAAAAAGCTAAGGAAAAAGCTTTAAAAGTGTTAAACTTAGCTAGAGTGCGGAAGTTGGTTAGCTTATAAAGAGAAAGTGGTTCATCGTCGTCGGCGAAGAAGCGGCGAAAGTTGGCGGTTTTATAAATAAAAGAAATAGTTTAAAAGACCGAGGGCTTGTATAGCTCTTTGCTTTTAAAATTATCTTCGAAAGAGACTTAAAAAGGCTTTGACGGGCGTTCCGTAATTAGCAAGATCGCTTAAAGTTGGTTTAGTTCTTTTCGAGCTCGACAAGCTTTTTTTTTAACCTTTTCGGCGAAAGTTTTTTGCTCGCTAACGTTTTTATCGAACTTTTCGTTACGAGTTTTCATGTTTGCGAAGAGCTTTTTAAGCTTAGCAGCTTTTCGTTAAGACTAAAAGAAAACTTAGTATTAAGCTAAAGCTTCTTCGAAATTAGTAAAAGCCGAAGGATCATCTTTATCGTCTTGCTTACTAATAGCTTCTTCTTAAGTAAAAAGAACTACTAATTAGGCCGTAAAAAAAAAGGAAAAAGCTGCTAGAGCAGCTTTAAAAAGTATGCGAAAGATTTTGCTCGCGAAGCGAAGGTTGTTATATTATATAAGTGCTATCTTTCAAGTTATACTTAGAATAAGCCTTCTCGTGACCGTTAATATCGTTTGAATGTTTTTTGACGTCTAACTATTAAAGAATTTTAAAAAGAAAAAATATTATTAAAGCCGTTCTCGGCGGAATAAGGTAGTTATTAATAATGTAACGACTTTAAGCGATTATTTAAAAGAACTTACGAGAGCGCGAAGGTTCATATAAAAGCTTAAGAGAATTTTAAAGTAATAACTTAAAATCAACAATTACCGAGTATAAAGGTCGAAGGTAGCTGAGGTCTATATATACGAAAGTAAAAGCGCTAAAGACTCGTGAACCATAGTTCATAAGTCAAAAAGCGGGGAATAAGAAAATACGAAGGAAAAAAGGAAGGAAGTAGCTTAGCGCATGTGAGGTGTGTGACGACCTTAAGCGATTACCTGAAGGAACTTACGGAAGCGCGGGGGTTCATATAAGAGCTTAGGAGAATCTTAAAGTAATGACTTAGAATCAATAATTACCGAGTGTAGAGGTCGAAGGTAGCTGAGGTCTATATACACGAAGGTAGAAGCGCTAAGGACTCGTGAACTATGGTTCATAGGTCAAAAGCGGGGAATAAGAGAATACGAAGAATACGAAAGGAAAAAGGAGGGAAGTAGCTTGGCGTATGTAAGGTGCGTCTAAGAGACTTGGCGTGTCGTTACACTACTTCCCCGTTCGAAAAAAGCTCGTCCTCGAGCGTCTATCCATTGCTTTATCACTACTTAAGTGATCGTAGTCATTAATACCGTTCGAATAAGCTTTGATCTATTCGAAGAGCTTCGCGGGAAGGCCGGGGAGCTCTTTGTGTTTTAAGTGGAAGTCACGTACTTTGAAAGGAGCGTACATAAAGTCGGAGGCGGGGTATTAAGTAAAGTCAATGTCGCGGCCGAGCTAAGAAGCGCGGTACTCAAGGTGCTTCTTGGTTTAGCGCACGGCTAAGATGTTCTTTACTTCGTACTCAAGTTCGCTAGTGATATTAATTGGGTTAAGTTCAGAAATGATTTGCTCGGAGGTGAGGTCGTTAAGTGCTTTTCGTAGCCGTCCGAGGTAGAAGACTGGGTGAACCTTTATTGACTCGGAGAGCTTAAGTTTAAAGCTGCTATAGACGTTATCGGTAACCTCGAACGGTCCGTTCGTAAGGTTATCGAGCTTCTTTGATAGTCGAGAGGTAAAGAACGGGCGCATATCCAACTAAACTTTATTATTAACGTCGAAGTCAACCGAGCGCCTTAATTTATTAGCTTGTTTGGCCATGCGGTCTTGGGCGCGCTAAAAGTGCTTTTTAGCGAGGTTTTAAGCTCCGAGGTGGCGGTTGGCGTAAGCGCGAGCTTCGTTTTGGTTGAGCTTGCGAGAAGAGGTTTGGTCGTCAGGTCGTTCTAAGCTCTAATTCCAAGTGGTCCGGAGGGCGTAGCCGTGAATTACCTCAAAGGGGGAGAGGCCGCCGAGGGAGTCGTGAAGGAGCGTCAATTGAGCGAAGTCCATTATAAAGAGGAACTCGCTCCAATCGTCTTAGTAATAGCTCACGAAGGGACGGAGGCGCTTCTGCAAGTATTAGTTGTAGATTTCGGTCTGACCGTCAGTCTCAAGGTGTGCGGCGGTGCTGAAGGTCAGTTTAGTGCCGAGGATTTTATTGAATTTTTTCTAGAACTCAGACCAGTATTAAGGTCTTCTGTCAGAAGTCAGCGTCAAAGGAGCTTTAAAATACTTATAGATGTGGTAGATATAAAGCTTGGCGAAGCCTTTGGCGTCGATGGACTTATGACAAGGGATCGAGATTGCTTGCTTAAAGAAGCGGTCGATTATTATAAAGACGTTGTCGTAGCCGTGTTTGTTTTTATTAAAGCTATAAAAATCTATAGTGACGTGCTTTTAAAAGCGCGAAAGGATCGGGAGAAGTTGGAGCAAGCCAGGTTTCTTATCGCGGGGCACTGAAGCTCGTCTGCAAGCGTGGCAGTTGCGGCAGTACTAGTTGACGAATCTGGCTATACCGTGCTAATAGTATTGTGTTGCAAAGAGCTTGTAGGTTTTGCGGGAGCTGAGGTGTGCCGTAAATACTTAGTCGTGGACTTCTCGGACGAGTAACGAGCGCAAGTTTTGGACGTCGAGAACTAATAGGCGGCCGTCATAGAGCAGCAAGTCGCTTTTTATAATGAGTTTAGCTTGTGAACCGTGGTTTACGGGTGAGGACTTAGCTCTAGAAGCTTGAATTCGAAGTGCTGTGAAACTAAGGGCGGTCCGATTGGCTTTTAAGACTTGGTTAATAACTCGGAATGTGGGTGAGAGCTCCGCGATCTCTTCGATAGTGACGGCGGTTTCCGAAGGCGTAAGTTGGCGTAGCTCTTCGGTCAAGAATCGTGGGTCAACGTTGTCGGCGCGGAGCAGCGTTTGCAAGCGTTGGGTGCGCTTAAGGTTGTTTTAGGAAAGGAGCTCTTCGGTGCGACGTGTCAGCGCGTCAGCTAAAAGGTTGTCTTTACTTGGCCTGTACGTAATGATGAAGTTGTAGTCGGAGAAGAGCTTTGCTTAGCGTGCTTGACGAGCGTTGAGAGTCTTGGAAGTCATGAAGTACTCTAAGGCCTTATGGTCGGTGATTACTTGAACCTGGTGAAGGGAGCCGGCGAGTTCGGCGCGGAAGTTACTAAAAGAGCGTATGATAGCTAGCATCTTTTTATCGTGGACGACGTAGTTGAGCTTAGCGGGAGCTATAGTTTTAAAGTAGTAAGCGACTGGTAGCTAGTCGGGACCATGCTTTTGAGAAAGGACTGAAGCGACTACGCCGTCGGAAGCGTTAGTTTCTAGCATACAAAAGAGGTCTTGGTTGTAGTGTTGTAAGATTGGCGCAGTAGTTAGGGCGAGCTTCAAGAGGTCGAAGCTTCTTTGACACTAAGAATTGAATGAAAAAGGAACGTTAGCCTTAGTCAAGTGCATTAAAGGTTTCGCGATCACGCCGTAGTCTCGAATGAATCGGCGGTAGAAGTTATAAAATCTAAGGAAGCTTTAAACGCTTTTAACGGTCGTAAGGGGCGCTTAATGCTTTACTATCGACGTCTTGTCCGGATCTACTTTTAAGCCTTCGGTAGAAATGATAAAGCTTAAGTATTTTACTTTAGTTGTGCTGAATTCGCATTTTTTGATGTCAGCTTAAAGGCTAGCGTCGTCGAGTCGTTAAAGGACTTAGCGAACGTGGTGGGCGTGCTTTAAAGGGTCGGAGGAGTAGATTAGGATGTCGTTCAAATATGCCGTATAAAAGATATTTAAGAAGTCGAAGAAGAGGTCATTTATATAGCGTTGGTAAGTGGCGGGTCCATTAGTTAGTCCGAATAAGAGAACCTTGCACTTGTAAGCACCGTAGCGTATCTTGAATGTTATGAGCTCTTTTAAAGCTGGGTCTATCCGTATTCTGTGAAAGGCTTGCCGAATGTCGAGTTTCGTAAAGATTTTAGCTCTTAAGAGACGTGCGAAGGTCTTATCGATTAAAGGGAAGGGGTATCGATCTTTACGAATGAGGTTGTTTAGCGCGCGGAAGTTAATACAAAAGCGGAAGGAACCGTCTTGCTTCTTAGCAAACAAGACTGGAGCTGCAAATAGCGCTGTTAAGGGTTCGATAAAACCTTTGTTGAGATTGTCGATAAGGTAGGCTTTAGTAAGCTTTAGCTTAAGGATCGATATCTTGTATAATAGTGAGTACTGAAGCGCCTTCTCCCTTCCTTCGAGAAGCTCGATTTTGTGGTCGTAAGGCCTGTATAGTGTTAGCACGTTGCTAGCGGCCTTGGAGAACACGTGTGCGTAATCGGAGTATTCGAGAGAGATAAGAAGGTCGTTAGTGAGCTCTAACAGTTCCGCTGCAAAGTCAATAGCAGAGATGGAGCCGTTAGTGAAGCGTGTTAGCGATGCTTAGTAGTCAGCTTAAGTAAAAGCAATCGTTTAACGCTCGGAGATCAAGCAATCGAGCTCGTAAAAGGACGTAGAGAATAGTTCTACGTCTTTTTAGCGAGCGATCATATGGAAGGCGTGTTCGAAGACGCCGTTGATTTTAAAGTTTCTATTGATTTTGTGCTTGGATGTTTAGCGGGAGCGTTTAACGAGTAAAAGAGGTTTTACAGAAGCGATGTCGGTTGACACAAGCTTACGGTTTATCTAAGACATTGATTTAACGTAGTCTTTAGAAAAGGTGTTTTTCGTAAAGCGAGAGAGTGACGGCTTTACGAGAGGGTAAATAGAAGAAAGGGGTTCAACGATCTTAGAAAAGGAAGCGGAAAGAGGACGATTCCGAGGAGAAAGAAGTGATTCAGCGATTATTGTTATTGCTTAATCCGCCCGTGAACTATGGTTCACGAGTGAATTAGCGTCGTAAGCTCTTTAAAAGCGGTCTAAAGCTCGATCACGCTTGTTAGCGTCGTGTTAGTGACGAGCGTTTACTTTACGCTGATTAAAGTGTGTAATTTCAATGGGTTTAGCGTAAGTGGCGGTCGGAAGGTTGGAACGAGGCCAATAGAGCTTGCGGCGAGCGTAGTTAAAGAGAATCTGGTGCTTAGCTAGCTATGCTCGTCCGAGGATCACGCTGTGATTCTTAAGGTTGGTGATAAGAAAAGGAGTAAAGGATTAGACGCGCTTATCAACCGTAAGGTTAAGAAGTGCAAAATATGAGATAATGGCTCTACGAGCTCTATTGTATGACTTGACAAGGAATGGAGCCGGGAGGGGTTGAATCAAAGGTTTAAGAAAAAAAGAAAGCGATTTGAGTAGCGCTAAGTCAATCAGCGCGTACTTATTAGCTCTTGAATCGAGCAAAGCAGATACCTTGTACGAAAGGCTATTCTTAATGAGGGTGACGGGTATAGTCATGGCTTTACTACCAAAGAGCTTCGTAAGGTCGAGGTATCGCATATCTCGAAGCTGGCTTAAGAAGGAGGCTTTGCTTAAGCCTCGACGTTTCCTTTATTGTCGGAAGCGTCGGAGTCAGCAAGAAAGAGCTCTTGGTGATCCTTAAGAGCGTCGGAGTAGGGCCTATCGTCCGAGTCATTCGAATAAGGGCCGTATTCAAGTCTAGCGCCGTATTCTATCTCGTTGATTGAGTGGTAGCGAAGGAGCTTCGGCGTATTCGGGTCCTTGCGAGACGATCTAAGGGTTTTGATTGCTGACTTAGAAGCGTTTCCGGGAGAAGAGAATTTGTTAGATCGATTGGATCGATCTGCACTAGCGCTAGGGCTGTTGAAGGTTTAGCGCTAAAAGGTAAGGAAGGAGACGGGGGTTGAGCTACTTTAGCGGTTTTCGTAATGGGTGATTTGCTTGACCGTTGCTCCTTGGGCCGAGCGGGATTCGTTACGAGCTCTATTGTGAGAGCTCTTTGCGAATTAAGTATTATACTTGGCCTGTAGAGCGTCGTAGAGCTTTGCAGACGCGTATTGGCCAGCAGCTAACTGCTGGACGGCGGTCTAAAAGTCTTTGAAAGTTATAGTCTTAGCAAATTCTAAATAAAGCTGGTCGCGCAGCGTTTTAATGATCTTAGAACGCAAGGCCTTACGTAATCGGTCTTCGTCCTTGATTTCGGCGGTAGCGGCAAGCTCCGAGAAAACAAAGTAGAAGTCTTAAAATTGCTAGTTAAGCCTTATATAAAGTTTTTCGAACTTAATTGACGCTTTGGCCTTCTTAGCGAAGTCGTTCAAGAACTCGAAAGCGATCTGGACGAGTTCCGGGGCGGTTACGAGGTTGCTACGATCTATAACTAAAAGGGCTAAGAACAAGTAGGCTGTTCTTTCGGTTTAGTCAAGGACGTAGTTCTTGCGTTAGCGTTCTGTAAAGAAGTATTCTTCGAAAGCTTCTAAGTTGTCGAAGACGCGGGCTTGCTAGTGACGTGCTCGGTAGCTTACGCCGTCTAAGAGCTTTTGTTTAAGGTTAAGGATCCGCTCGATACAAGCGCGACCTTGGGAAGCTAAAGAGGAAGCTTTAAGGGTGTTGAACTTAACTGGAGTGCGGAGGTTGGTTGGCCTGTAAAGAGAAGGTGGTTCATCGTCGTCGGCGAAAAGGCGGCGAGGGTTGGCGGTTCTATAAGTAAAGGGAGTGGCCTAGGGGACCGAGGGCTTGTATAGCTCCTTGCCTTTGGAATTATCTTCGAAGGAAACTTAGGGAGGCTCTGACGGGCGTTCCGTAGTTGGCAGGACCGCTTAGAGCTGGTCCAGTTCTTTTCGAGCTCGCCGGGCCTTTTTTTCAGCCTTTTCAGCGAGGGTTTTTTGTTCGCTAGCGCTTTTATCGAGCTCTTCGTTGCGGGTTTTCATATCTGCGAGGAGCTTTCTAAGCTCAGCGGCTTTTCGTTAAGACTGGAGGAGAGCTTGGTGTTGGGCCAAAGCTTCCTCAGGGTTAGTAAGGGCCGAGGGATCATCTTTATCGTCTTGCTCACTAGTAGCTTTTTCTTAAGTAGAAGGAACTGCTGGTTGGGCCGTAGAAAAGGAAGAGGGAGCTGCTGGAGCAGCTTTAAGAGGAGTGCGGAGGATTTTGCCCGCGGGGCGAAGGTTGCTGTGTTGTGTGGGTGCTATCCTTCAAGTTATACTTGGAATAAGCCTTTTCGTGACCGTTGGAGTCGTCTGAGTGTTTTGACGTCCAACCACTAAGGAATTCTGAAGAGGAAGAATATTATTGAAGCCGTTCCCGGCGGAGTGAAGTAGTTGTTGATAATGTGACGACCTTAAGCGATTACTTAAAAGAACTCACAGGAGCGCGGAGGTTCATATAAGAGCTCAAGAGAATCTTAAAGTAATGACTTAGAATCAACAACTACCGAGTGTAAAAGTCGAAGGTAGCTGAGGTTTATATACACGAAAGTAGAAGCGCCAAGGACTCGTGAACCATGGTTCATAGGTCAAAAGCGGGGAATGAGAGAATACGAAGAATACGAAAGGAAAAAGAAAGGAAGTAGCTTGGCGCATGTGAGGTGCGTCCAGGAGACCTGGCGTGTCGTCACAAGGTGGGTCCAGGAGACCTGGCGTGTCGTCATATTAATATCGTTTATTATATCGATTTAGTTTCGATTATTTAGCTCGACGCGATCGACACTCGACTTTTTAATAAATCACTTTCGACGCATCGAGATCTTATATCTTTATAACATTTCTTTATTGTCACTTACGGTGACCCAAGATAAATTCTAGTAGTGGTGGTGATTAGTCATCCAATCACGTGAGACTATTCTATACGGATCTGGCAAGATTTCTGAGCGTGCCAAGACTTTTATTCTATGTCAATCTATTGAACTTTTTCCGGAAGAATTAAAAAAAGAAGGGGGATTAAAGTAATTCCGCCGGCATCGGAATTTTTTTTTCCGTAATCTGTATCGAAGGATATCGACGCGTAAACGCGTTATATAAATACGCGTGCACGGACCACTTTATTTTATTTTTCTATAATGACGCGTCA